TCGAATGAAACTTTTTTCAAATGGTTTCTGTGATTTTTTTTTTTTAATTTGAAACATTTGAATATCGACTTTCAATTGTTTTTGTTATTCAATTTAGACAAGAAAGATGGATACTGCGAAAATTCGACAGGGGTTAAAGTATGAAATTGCCGTTTTATTGCAATAGGTTCTTTATTAGGGAATAAAATATGAATGAAAACTTTACACAATAATGCTATTTATTATCATTACAGATAACTACAGATTTAGCCGAGCAAGCATCAGAAATGTGCGTCGAGTCAACCGCCAGCTCGCCCATCTCTTCGCATCACCGTGCAACGGTACATAGTTAGAAAGAGACCGCTTATAATCGCATTGTTAATACGATTTAAAAAAACGAATAACTCACTTCCAGTGAAAGATATATTTAAAAATAAAAGGGCACTGAGTAGTGAGTAATGGTTGTTTTGTCCAGAACTAGCTTACATAAGATTTGTCTCATTTGGGATTAAGTAGATATATTTTATTTCGTACAATATTCTCACGACGGTTTTATTGACATGTAGAGGATAAAATTTTATATTCAGAAATGGTATAACCTTGAATTTCACGTATTTTGAGTTGCAACACTATTGTAATAGCAGTGCGATATATCGCGATAGAGCGAGTAATGGGGAAGGGGGTGAAGAAGAAAAATGTTGAAGGAGATATACAGGGGAAGAACAGTAGGGCCAGAGTTGAGTTAGAGAGAGAGATAGGAATGAAAGAGAAAGAGTATTAGTAACCACGGTCAGATTGCTTTTCCGTAGATGCGATAAATTTTGTTGGTTTTGTTCCCGCTTTTTCAAAGTCATCGTCTCGGCCACATTCGCTTAACATCAGGTGACATTTTGGCCAAGTGTGTGTCTATTTTATATTAAGAAAAAAGGTCGTGAGACAAAGCGCGTTTATGCACTGCGTCCGTTTCGTATTAGTTTCGAATGCTAAAGCTAACGGTGTTAATTACCTGTGAAATGACTTTTTCAATGTATGCTTTTCAAAATTTATAGATGGTTTAGCGTACATAGGGTTATTTGTAACATATTAACAATCTCGCAGAAGTATGTTACTAACAACAACAATTTTTGTTCCATAACTTTGAATATAATACATTTGATTTTACTTTCGTTCAAAAATAAATATATTTAAATAGATCGCCCTCAAAAGTGATAACTATGTGCGGTAACAAAAGAAAGCACTAACGTAAATGTAATCGTGGCAGTGGTACAACTAAATTAGATTTTTACAAGTAACCCTTTATAGTAACTTTATAGGATGTACTTTCTTGGTAAATATTAATTTGCGACTTATTCACATGACAAAAGGCGTATATTAGACTGAGTTTTTTTAGTATACAAAGTTCCTTTCCAAAAGTGATGTATTGAAAAAACGCATTGATTTGTGAAAAAGGCACAAATGTTAAGTTATGAAATGTTGTATGTATTGTAGTGTAATAGAAATCTAATTCTGTGGCTCTAGTGAAAAGGGGTACTAGTAAAATAATCCATCTTTACGATCCGCACAACTGACATTTTCCACAAAAAGTCTTTAATTTATTTAGCTATGGTAAGAAAATCACTATATTTCTGCACGTGAAGCTCAATAACAAAAAAGCTGTAAACTTTTCTATGTGCTTGTTGTCGTATCTTTGTATTTGGTTTTTCAACGACCTTTTAGCCGTATCCGGCCGAATAATTCTAATAAACTTGTGGAAAAAATAATTGAATATCAATTCCATAAAAATTTAAAAAGCTATAAACCCAATAAGAGTTTTATCAGCAGAAAGATGGTGATTTTCTTACAACAGGTACATATTTTGGAGATTTTTTGTGGAAAATTTCACTTATGTGGTTTTATAAGCTTTAGCTGTTTTTACTTGTACCTCTTTTCACTAGAGCCACAGCTATATGGTCAGTTATAAGGTTCATAAGACTTCATGGCGCAGAGCGTAATAGAAGCGCATTTTTGTAATCAGAGTATAATGGACATCACATCAATTGTGTGACATACAAACCAGATCAAGTACAATAGAGCTTATTGAGAAAGAGTTCGTCCAAGGAAGTAGTCTGCCTTCCCTATCCGGTTTTTTATATCCTATTTAGTTTGTTTTATTGTTGAACGAAGTCAGACTAATTGACATTTTCCAAAGAATAAAAAACAAGGTGGTTTAATCACTAAAGTTACCAAAATGCAAATCCGTTATTTACGACAAGGAGTCTAGTTCTACCGTGTCATGGACATTTTCATATCAAAAATATTATAAAACTTGTTTAAAATAAATAACACTACATGTGACAAACTCGATTAAATAGGGACACTGTCTGTACAAAACATCTAGCGCCGACGCGAAAGTTTTCGGGCGGCTAACAACCAGTTACCACGCTTTCACGTACATTAATGGCCAATCAGAATTCTATTTCTACAACAACATTTAAATTCCTCGGAATAATATAACCGCGCGATCGCCACGTGGACCAACTTCAAGCCAACCTCGCCCACGCGCCCGGGACACCCATTTAAGTTAAAACGTAAAAGCTACAAGCGTATTTGGCCATGACAGTTATACGCATGCGGTTGTTGCGTGGCGGCCGTGAAATTCGTGTCTAATAAACGCGCCCTTAGAAAAAGTCTTCTCAGGTCAGCAGTTTGGTCGGTGCTGCCCTCATCGTCTTTTGGCTAAAACTTTGTCTGTTCTCTAAGAATTAAAACCCAAATTTAAACAAGCAACTATCACTGTCAAAGTGACATCTCATAGATCATAAACCTTTTGTATGATAATGCAGCTCAATCTGGTGGAGATGCAATCCGACGACCTACTATGAGCTGTTATAGAAATCATGTTTAAGCCCGTAACTTGGATAGCCTGTCAAATTCGTACTATGACCTCACAAAAACAATTCACAGTCCATGCAGTTTACGTTGCCCATCCGAAATCTGTTCACCTTTGCTTCCATAGTAAAATCGTCTCATGACGTCATTTGCCATGCACTTGGGGGGTCTCATCTCATTCCGTGATAGTAATCATTCATCAATCATTTTTTGAAAATGTTGAGATTTTATTACATTTTTAAGAAATTTCGTTTAAGTTTTATTATATTTTCAGTTTCATAATTATTTGTTATCTTTTTAGCCAATTGTCAATAAATAAATGCTATTAACTATTGAACTTTTTTGATCAGTTGGAGTTTCCCATCTACAAAGTATTGTTGATAAATGATTATTATTAATATTATATCATTTCAATGATAATGACTAGGCGGTAATCTATCACAAAGTCGAATTATTTTTCCGAAATAACGTTTGTTCGAATTTGCATTACACCGAAAACCGTTATAATTATAACGGAACCGTTGTTCTTTTAGGATATGTTGAATGTTTATCGCAAAGACACGATTAGGTTTGGTTAGATTGTTAGGGTTAAAAGAAAAAACATTTGCCTCTCAAAAGTACTTTCGAGGTTATGAAAATTCGAGCAAAGGTTATTTCTGGAAGATGTCATTCCGGACTACTCATAGGTAACCTGACTAGACATGACATGTAATTTTGTCTTACGACAAATTGTAAAGTATGATTGAAAAGTTGCCAATATTACAGTATAACGTAATAAGTATAATCAATAATATAATTATTAAAAATATATAATTATTCTCATTTTGAACACAATCGGTTAATAACGCTCCCTGGGTAGTACATCTGTTTATTTCTTTCATATGATTTAGTATATAGTTCCACCTCACTTTTGTAGATGTCAACTAGCCAGCCAAAGACAATAATTAATGTTTAAAAAGTAAAACTCATCACGTTAGATTATTTATTTATTTATTTATTTGCATTTCACATATAGTCTTAAGTGTACACAAACTTAGAACTATGGTAGGAACTACATGTTTACCATTCCCATTCAACTTTGTGTACGTCATAATTCGAATTTAAGCAGTTCAGTTTTACCACGTCACGTGAATTGCATGGAACTTGCAAGCTGGTTGCTTATAAGCTCATAGTAGGCCTCCTGTCCTGAAAGTTTGTATGTTACACAATTTGCATAAAATTAATTATGCTATGTACCATTTATGATGAAAGAGTTAGAACATTCTGCATGGTAAATTATGATTTGAATGGCAAATACAAAATTATGAACTTTTCATACCATAATGAATATTTTAAGACAAATTAAGGTGAAATTACGCCGCCGATTGAGCTTGCGCAATTCAGCTGCGTAATTTCACGTGCAAATAAAGAATATAATAAGCGAATAATCGTAATTAACAGTATAAGTACTGGAAATTAAATTAAGATCAATCTCGATTCACTGGCGCGTCAGTTTCGACGAAAAGTGGTTACCTATCAGTAGTCCAAAATGACATTCTGCAGAAGTAACGTTTGCTCGAATTTTCATAACCTCGAAAGTAATTTTGAGAGGAAAATGTTTTTTCTTTTAAAGCTAAGTTAACCTAACCGAACGTGATCGTGTCTTTGCGATACACATCCAACATGTCCTGAAAGAACAACGGTTTTCGGTGTAATGAAAATTCGAACAGACGTTATTTTGGGAAAAGAAAATTCCAGTTTGTGATAGGTTACCATGAAAAATAGAGGTTCAGAAATCGAGTGAGAACTCTGACCGTGTTGTGAAATTTTACTAATTACTTCAAATAAATAACACTATCATGAGGAAGCCCTCAAATTACACGCTGTCTTCTGTACGCTGTTTAGATAAAAAAATATAGTTTCATTTCCTATGTGTAAAAATCGCGAAAACCTTTCAAATTTTGTCATCATTAAATTTGAAAATGCACGTGATTGGTCCATTTGAATTACCATTTCCGTATGATGTGATAATACAGCCATGTCATTGGTCAGGCTTAAGGCCGACGCATTGAGGTGATATTAAAGCTATGTGATTGGTCAATTTGAACATAATGAACTATATTCTTTGTATCGTTGTATCTTGAATCTAATTTCCAATGTTATTCGTAAATCTGTATTTCAATGTACACTGATTGTGACAATGTACTCTAGCCAAATTCGATATAGAATAAATGTCAACAATCAAAAATATATAACTTATGGTTTTCACTTCAGGCTGTTTTGCAATCACAATTTTCATGTTTTTCCCCGAAATTCGATTAGGCTATTGACAATACTAATCTTGGAGCCGTATCTGTGATGAATTTTGTTCAATAGAAGTTTAAAATCACTAAGTAAATTATTTGAAATCAACATAAATACTACCAGTAATTAATTATTTATTTAGAAAACTATGTCATCCTTGATGATTTTTTAATTTGAAAGGAGAGATTGCAAACATTCTTGT